CAGATTGATGCTGGACCTGTGCAGCTTCTGAGGGTTTACAGTACTGTTGATGATAAAAAAACTGCATTACCCAAAACAAGGAATCTGCCATAACTCCCATAGTTTAGGGTCCTTAAGGTCATGCAGGATTTACATCATCAACCGTAGAAGCCGAAAAGTTGGAAACGCACTAGCCTCAATCCTTTAGAGTAGTATATAGGAAATCCCAGCACGATTTGGGCTTTATCCGGTTTCCAACTTTATGGGGTTTACTGTCGGGTTATAGGACTTAGGGTCAAGGGATTATAGGTTGTAAGGTTTAGGGTTTCGGGCTTATAGGTTATGGGGTCTAGGGGCTATAAAGTTTGGGGCATATAGCTTTTATGTGCAGTCAGCACGATATTGTATTCCAACATAATCACATTACAGGGGACCGCTATTGTAGGCCGTAGACCCTCTGAACTGCATTTGCAGAAAGAAGAACGTCCCGAACACAATTTTGGAAAAAGATCAACTGTTCCAATGACCGGGCCGCCCAAGACCTAGACCTTATACCCTCTAGAACCCCCAAACCCTGAACCTGATGCCCCGTAACGTAACCTATGAACTCTAACCCTTAGAACCTATAAACCCTTGCTACAACCTTTAAATCCCAAACCCTATAACCTATAAACCCCCTTACTACAACCTTTACCCCAAACCCTACAACCTATAAATCCTAAACCCTAACCTGTAAGCCCTAAACCCTAAACCGAACCATCAAAGATGTGAAACAGTGATGTCTTCTCGAAGTCCCGAACTCTGGGTACCAAGATGGTGACACCTTCCTTAACCCTGAATGACCTACCTTTTTAGGGTTCCTAATTATGATTTCCTTATATCCTTAAAAAAGGCAGGTCCTTCGGGGTTAAGGTTGTACTCACCAACTTAGGAATGGACATCCTGAAGCACACTTAGGGAACGCGTATGCGGAGGCATGGGAAAGCAGAGGACCATGACGGAAACTTCCGAAGAAGACGTCCCACCGGAAGAAACCAAGCTCGCCAGACAGGAATGCGTGCAGAAACCATGACAAAATACACGCCCTGTCTCTCTCTCTCAAATAATTATTGTATATATGTATATACATACAGATAGATCTGTATATATAATTCTACATTATAGGTGTACATATATACATATATATATATATGTACATGGCGTACACAGTTGCGTTCGTTCTCCGACTTTTGAACCGGGGCGGGAACTGTGGGCGGGATTGAACTCGGATACAGCCGTTTAAGGCACACTCAGGCGTAATCTTAATTATCTTTGCCTGCCTCGCCTCGCTGAACTGTAACTTTCCAGCCGCGCACGCTGGAATTCAACATCCTGCACGGGAGCGTTGTGAACACCGTGCAAGGCGTGCAGCTTCGCTGCGTTAGATAAACACCACGACCTCGAATAGCAGCCCCAAAATCCATGCGAAGGCAACGGTAGTATTGCATTCCATGCTACTTGAGCCAACGGTTCAGGGGCTTTATCTGCAGTAGAGCAGTGGTCCAAGCGTCTCTTCGTATGATTGGCCGGCAGGCTGTGTATCCTTGTGGCTGAGGGTGGATGGCATGCAGTACGAAATCCAGCGTAGTCTTGAGAAGTTTAGTTATATGGCAGCACCAATACCAATACAGGTGCCTTTATAATCAGACCATGGGCTTAGTTATAGTACTTTTCACTTGCCATGTGGGGAGCCCTCCGGAAAAGCAGTACCAGTGCTTCCAGCTTCTATGTTGGACTCCCCGCCCTCGCCTGTCTACCCTTCCTTAGCTACCCTTACGAAGACCGAAACCTCTATAGAACCTGGAAGACACTGCGGAATCGGAATACGGAATGCAATTGAAATACCAGGCCCCTTCACTATTCTTCAGAGTACCCTAAGCCCGTATAGTATAAGGCCTAAACCCTATACGTAAACCTCTGTAATTATACTCTGGCGACTGCTTCCGCCTGGCCGGGGAAGTGCAGCAAGACTGCCTGGGGTCGAGGATTCGGGATCTTGAAATTGAGGGTGGCTTAGCGCAACTTAGTGTTCAGTGCTTGTTTATATATAGTAAAAGCCAGAAAGTTGGAATATGATTATCCTAAACCCTTTATGGTAAATTATAGGGTATCCTACCCTGAAACCATATTCGAACTTTCTGGAGTTCCCTGTAGGTCCCGTGGGGTCCCTCCATTCCAGTTCAGTTTCGGAGCCCGAACCAAGAACTTACAAGGGTTGGGGGGTGGGGACTTTCGAGCCGAGGCCTGAACTGAAGGTATCGCGGCTTGAGGATTGTAACGTATGTCTTCTATGAATCATAAAGGGAGGCAGCTAGTATGCCAGCGGAGCTTTGGCACAGCCTGCCAGATGCCTGCAACCAGTCCTGCTTTTAGTACAAAGTACTCCACTTCAGTGTAGTCCTCGTCGACATCGTCGTAGTCTTAGTCACATAACAGTAGCAGTAGCAGTAGTAGTCGTCGTCGTAGGGGTAGTCGTAGTGGTAGTCGTACTGGTAGTGGTAGTGCTGGTAGGTGGTGGTAGTAGTAGTAGCAGCAGCAGCAGGAGCAACAGCAGCAGCCTTTGTTTTTTTACTAATAGTAACAATACCAACAACAACGATAACAGTAGTATGAGAAGGAGGAGGAGGAGGAGCAGGAGGAGGAGGAGGAGACCTATCTGCTAATCAAGCAGCGGAGGCTTATTCCTGCAAAGGGTAGCTATGGTCTCTATTGAAGTGCCATTTAGTTTAACGAATTCGTTTTTAGCGCTCAGATTTTAGGGTTTAAGGCTACCCCAATAAAGGAACTACAATGGAAACTAGAGGTACTAGGTCCTGGCAAACTCGAGCCGGCAAAGCCAAGAAGCAAGAAGAACACGGATAGTGAGCCATAAACAGAAAGGAACATGTAAGACAGAAAAACACCTGCAATAACAACTGAACACCTGCAAACAAAGATCCCTCAAAACCCTATCCGAAACCCCTAACGCCTCAAACTCTAAATCCACACCTTAATTCATAATATCCTTCGCCCTAAAGATTAATGATCGTAATGATACCGATAATGAACAATGATAAAATTAACCCTACACCCTTAACCCCTAAAACCCTAAATCCCGAAACCCTGAACCCCTAAACCCTAAAACGAACCCCTAAACCCTAAAAACCTGAACTCAAACTTTCTGCCGGAGCGCCTCGGGGAGCGGCTTGCGGAGCGTGAAGCACTCTCGGAGCGCGGACCTGGGAACTGAGGTTTAGGGGTGTCTTACCTAGAGGCTCATACCCCACAGCTGTTTCAGGGCGCCTACTTTTTAAGATAACAGATCCTAACCATAAAACTAGGTATCCGAAGAAAGGGGTAGGGTCTGAGCCTCTAGGTAGGACTCAGAGTAGGCCCTTATTCCCTTTTTTAGGGTTTAGATTTGAAAAAAAGCCCTGAAAACTGAGGGGGTCAAGGAGATCTAGGGCTTTAGGGGATTTAGGGTTTAGAGCTTACTGGGATTTATAGGGCTTTAGGGGATTTAGGGTTTCGAGCTTACTGGGATTTTGGGCTTTAGGGGATTTACCTAGAGGTTCTTTCGTAATGTTTATTTGCGTAACGAAACTTTTCCGTTACACTTAACAGCTTTCCAGCCGTTTTGCAATTTCAGGCCGGATGGAACAAAAAGAATCCGATACATGTTTGTTGAGTGGGATTGGTCGTGTAGGTGTCGAGAATGTTATACGATACACATATATGGATGCCGATGGCTCCTGCATTGGGGCTTATGTTACAACCGATAGGCAGGGTTCGTTTAGGTTGGGAACCTATATAATCTTAAAGATGGTAGTCGGTACCACAATCCCGAATCCTGACACACAGCTGCGCGCACAAGCGGCACACCATTTTCTGGAGACCTTGGACAAGCTCCTTCCTTCGGAAATGCCGGGCACTCGGCATCATCATCATCGTAAGTCAAACAGCTGCCTCCATTGCCGCCTATAGAGCAGTAAAGCCTTCTCAACAGTTCTCCAGACTTTGGTCGGGGCAGCACAGCGTCTGCTTATTCGGGATACTCTACCAACATGGTCCTCGTCGGCCCATGTGGCCCAGCCTTCAGTGTCTGGTTGCGGTAAGCATCGATAGTTTAAGTTGCAACAGTATAGCCGAGCAACACATGCTATTGATGATGTCAAGTGCACCAGTTTGCACTTGTCTTTGTAGCTCCCAACTTAGCGAACAAGCGAGATCATGTAGATGCAGTGCTAACATGTTAACACCACACATCAAGATCAGGCCAACACAATCAAGTTTCACTAACTCAGCCTGCATGTGCAGCTTGGGTCGTAGCTTGAAGAGTGCCCATTTTCGGTGTACAAACCATTAACCCGATTAGCAGTATTCTACACACATGACCGTACCACTAATTCCAAGAAACCCTAAGCATTTACATCAACGAGTACTTACATAATCCGCCAGAACATAAGTATATGATATTATTGAATATTATTTCCTATAGAATCTCGTGATGCCAACAAGGTCGAACTTCGAGCATCTTCCAGCCGGATTCAATGCAAACGCAGGCCTGGTCTCTTGTAAGAAAGATGCCAGAAGAGTAAAGGGTCCTGAAGTGTTGGCCACAAGCTTGCATGGTCCATTTTAGCAGCCGGAAGAGCTCCACATGATCGGGATCCTGGGATACTTGCAGCAGTATACATAGCAAAGGTTTAAAATCTAAAGCATCAGCGATACGAAGTTTATTTGCATCGAGAGCTCCAGTGTTGATTCAACAACCCGGACCAGCAGATCTTCCAGCCATGCATTCATTAGGCCACAGTCGTGGCCCTTGCCACAGCCAGAGGGGAAATTCTTCAACCTTTGCACTGGCTCGTTTCATCTACCCTAAGCCCAAAGCCCCTAAAACCCATATAGCCCTAAGACTATATAACTATAGATGGGCGAGATCTAGACTTAATCGCACACGTCTAATCCCTCCTTGTTTTTAGTAAAACCTAGAATGCTAGTTAACCGCCAAACAACGAGTCTATCTTCAGGGTCTGCTTGTTGAAATGTGTGATCGAAGTAGTTTTCCCATGATCGCTGCAATACTGTCGAAACAATTCATAGCCAAAGTCAAGGGCTGCCTCCAAGGACCTGCCTGGCAACACCTTGAACCGCACCAACAATAGCAGTGAGCTGGAGCATAAATCTTTCCCCCACCCTTGGATGGCATACGTGTGCGCAGGATCCACCCGAATCGTAGCAGCATCGTCTGCTATGGTAGCCAGTCGTCGCAACGGTGAAGGATCCCCAGTCTTGAACGGATCCTCATTGGCATCTTCATGTGCCCTTTCCATAGTGCTTCGGGAGACATCGTACCATTCCTGGTTGCTGTGTCTACCTGCAACCCCCAAACTATATAGTTCTCTCCTTAAAATAGTAAACACATAGATCGAGCTATAAACATATAGGGCTGAGGGCTGTCAACTATTGTGGGAATAATTGCAACGAAGCTTCAGAACCAGAATTGCAAAGATGGCAGATTCTGGCACTTGTAAAACCTGAGACCAACTTCATGGCCTTCCGCAAAAATGGCCAATCACCTTTGACCCCAATGAGGACCAGTCGAAAGGTAAGCCGCTTTGACTTGTGATCGACCTTATATAAGAATGCAGTACCATCGATAAAAGCAAACACTGCTATCTTACCGACGGAACAACCTTGACTTTAGACAGCAAAGCAACACTCAGCCCAGTCTCATAAAGCTGCTGCAGGTCATCGCTCAGCGCGGAAAGCAGGCCATCAATAGTCTGGTCTCGCCAGTAAAGTTCTGATGGAATCACTGAGAAGAGGAATCTCGTCGTCATGGAGTTCCTAGTGTGCTTGGGGACAATTGCTTTTTCGTAGTACTGAGGCGATAGCATGAAATAAAGATGGGTTTCAAAAGTTTCTGGGGTCAGGGGCTGCGGTTCTCGAAATTAATTAATATACATCAACATTCTGATATCTAGACAAGTAGCCCACTGGAGTTGACCTTGTTGATGCCCAGCCATCCCACCAGTGGTTGAATGCTAAGAATCATAATGGGTCTTTTGGAGCTGCCCCTTCCCTCATCTCCATGAATGAGGACCGGTATAGAGTACTTTGCAACTTCAGGATAATCTGGACGATTGAAGAATGCACAATGTGGATTGAGGAGTTTGTACTTCTCCCAAAAGCCAGCAAACATCTCTTCAAACAGATGACCTGAATCAAGACAATATCCTCCGAGAAATGGCTCACCTCCAATAGACAGACTGTAAGCTAGCCATGATGATGGTAGCAAACATGCAAAGTCCATCTGGGCTTTCTGAATCTTGCTTCTGTGGATCTTGCGGATGGGAGCCTTTACAGCATCCACCTTCACAGGAAGACATCGTCCTGTCTGGTGAATAAAGGCATGTAGGTTCCGTGAGGCGTTGAGATGGCCCCATCCACCAGTCCCACAGGCAGCCAAACGATTCAGAGTACGGTCTGGTGCTCCTTATTTGCAATATAGATCGAGTAATAGCATGCATAGCATTGGATCGATATATGATGTAGGCACTAGACCCACAAGAACAAGTTAGATACGATAGCTATTGAGCCTGGGGGCCAACTTTTCGGAACCTTCTCGAAGCAACTTGGGCAAGGCGAACCACACGCCGGGCACTTTCTGCCTGAAGCGGCACGGTTTACATATATCAGATGAACAGAAGAATTGACCCCAACTAGAAGCGGAACCTACAATATATGCTATATTCAGTACGAATCACCCCTGCTTCGAAGCCGGTCAACAGCTCATCAGCCAGATCGTCGTCATTATCGGAAGCTTCTTCACTATCATCTTGGCTGCCTCCGAGGACTTTGAAAATTAGGGGGTCCAGGGCTTCAATTTAAGTCGGTGGGATCGAGGATTTGGGTCCTTGGTTTTCCGGGGCCTGGGCAGCAAACTTACTGAGGTGTCGTCTGGGAAACTTATATGCTGTAAAAAAGACATCTTAAGGGGCTCGGGTTTGGGCTGTAGGTTATATATATATATATATATATATATGTATGGGCTATGGAAACTTTGGGAGACAGGCCTGGGGTTTGGGATTAAGCGGGCTAGGTGCTTTATCCTTTGAAGCTGCGGGGTTTGGGCATGTATTAATGTTCGGGCACTAGGGGCTATGTATAGGGAGGGAGAGATTTGTGGTTTGGGGCTCAGTGACAAGATTTTTGATTCGGGGTTCAGATAGGATTCATCCAGCTAGGGCATGGGCTTTTCGGGTCTAGGGGTTTGGGGGTTGGAGGATTTCGGTTTGGCGTTTGTAGGCTGTATCGGATCCAGGCTACCGGCCACGACGAGTATAAAACTACAAGCTATCGATACTGCAGTTCATATAGATTGAAGGGTACTTGTGGGAGAGGTTGCTACCATACTATTAAACAAATTGCAGGATATGTGCGTTACATTAATGATCACACCGTGTGCAGGCCTGAGTCATCTCTGGCACCAGCTATCCAATCTGCGGGCGGCAATCACATCGATTTGTCAAACAGCATACGTGCATAGTATCAACTGCAGAAGAGCATATCAAATCACAGCTTTTGCATGTTTTCAGTGGTCGCACAGCTTTTCACCCCAGCATCGACCCTAGCAGGAACAGCACATTCTGTAATGTGCACTGATCATGAAGAGTGCAACAGCAGCTGTCATAGGGCTTCATCACAGTGTCGACTGCAGAACGAAGTAACATCTAGCCAGTTGCGCAAGCTAGCTGTTGACTATCTCACACACTCACACATGCCCCAAAGCTGCTGCAAGACAACTTCGCAAGCGTACTTCTTCGAGTACTCTAGTCAGTCTTGGCCTTCTTAGGTTTCGACTCGGCCTTGGGCTTTCCCTTGCTTTTAGAGGGTTTCGCTGGCTTGTCCTTCTTGTCCTTTTTCTTGTCCTTCTTCTTGTCCTTCTTGCCGGACTTTGGCTTCTCCTTGGAGGAGCCACCACCACTCTTCATTGACCTCACAGTATTTCAGCAGCGTGAGAACCCACACACACACACACACACACATGCAAGCAGGCACAAACTTCATCGTTTAGCTTTGCTGCTTTGCACGAACCACATAGTTGTTGAGTATGAGGTCGCGTTTCGTAGTCTCGGCGAAGAGTTTGAGCAGCCGGTCGTTGAATGCCCTGGCCCCAAATGCATGTACTTGATGCACTCAGCCAACTTGTCTATCTCATGCCCAAAGATCTAAGTCTTTGGCTTGTCGATCGTCGAAGTCAAAGATTCTGACTGCTTGGAAGTGAGCTGTGCAAAGAGGTCTTTCAGGGCGGCCAGGCATTCCTTCAGTTGATCCTGCAACCTCGGATCCGGCTATGCGTGTGATGGTACCATGCATATATCGTCCGATGCAGATGAGTCACGCTTCCGCCCGAGCACCACCGATTTTCTCGACTCGCTCCTTAAAGCCGCTCAGCATAGATCTGAAAGTGCAGTTTGTGAGCGGCAAGTCACACATGCACACTTCAATCCAAGGCTCGAGGACATCAGTGCAGCTATCAATCTTACGTCCCAGAACTTCCAAGAAACCAGGAAGGATGGTGAGGGGGCTCGCGGTCTGCTGCAAGGAGGGGAAGGTGAGCCTTGGTGCGTTCGATGGTATATAGCTGTACAACCTATAGCCTATAGCTAGAGACTCCAGACATCCCTTACATATGAAGCCCTGATACTTGAACGATGCCGAAGACGAAAACGATTCCAGCTGCTCTGCTTGCGCCGCAGAGGAAGCTGCAGCCGTGCTCCCGGCTGCGCTTGCGATCGAGGCGGCATTGCCATCCACATGTGGCACATCCATGTCGAACAGGGTGCCGCCCTCATCCTGAATATAGCGGTTGAGGCTTTCGAGGTGTCAGGGTTTAGGAATTTCACAACCTATAAATGTGTGAGCTATATGGTTCTGGGATAACGGACAGGTTTGGAGTCTTGTGAAGTGTAAGGGATCAGATATTTCAGGGGTTTAGGGGTTCGATATAGAAAGCCCATATTGTGGGCAAAGCGTTCTGGCTTTATGGGGCTAATCTCCAAATATTTAAGATCGAGGTTAACTTCTATATAGGGACCCTAATTACTCAATGCATTTGGTGGTCTTATACTAGCTGGCTACATGGTCTCCTCAACATCCATAGCCCCGGTCGTCGATGTCTCGTGGGATGTAAGATCTTGGGCCTCGAAGCTGTCCGCGAGAATAAGCTTCGCTTCTTCTTCCCCGTGGACAGGGCTTCGCCGTAAGTTGTTGGTGTTAGCTGCCCAGACCCAGGCAGCACTGATCATCTTCCTTATCAGATATGTAGAGGCCGTAAATGATCTAGATGGGACAGTTTGGACATATTGGCATCGAGATATTGCTGAGTTCGGGGCGGGGTCCAGTGCTCCACCGTACCAAGATAGTGCTTAGTCACCCACCTGCCTCCCTTGCTCTTCGAGTAGGAGGCCACATTACTCTTGCGGATCTGCAGCTCCAACGCCTTGAAGGAACCATGTGTCTTCAAAAGCTCCTTGAGCTTTTGTCCTAGGCTGCATATACGAGTCACACAACCCGAAGAACCGTAATCACTCACCCATTTGCAAGATTGCATGCTATTTGTGTGCAAACACAGGTGCGACCCTCCGGCGACTTGTACAAGGCCATTGCACCTTCTGAGCACTTTAAGACGCCGGATGCCCGTGGCTCGAAGTATCGTCGCATCCTAGGTTCGTGTGGTTTTCTCAGATCGAAATATAGGAGTCTATAGGATCTACTGCACTGAATCAAGTGATTGGGGCTTATTCTGTCGGTTGAATATTTATCCCTTTGGGTTTTAAACTCTATAGGTTTACACACCTTGGGGATCTTATGCCAGGGACTAGGGTGTCTTGGATCTTCACAACTAACAGATATCTCTGCATCAGCTATATAGGTTTAGGGGTTAGGGTTTATGTTGTATCACCTATTCTAGGCTTGCGCCGAATACACAGGCCTTAGGCTTCTCCCTAGCGTGAAGATTCAGGAATTGAGATTTGATTGGATCTTCACAACTTACAGGGGATTGAGGTTTAAGTCTAGGGCGGTACTTATCTTATAAGATGTGTAAAAAAGCCTACATATTATGCATGTATGTATATGTATATATGTATATTAGTATGTATGTATACATGTATGCATGAGTGCATGCATGTGTGTATACATATGTGTATGTATGTATGTATGTATCTATATATATATATATGTTAAGCAAGCCTCTTTTTGCTTAAGATTACTTAAGATATCTAGGTCTTACAGGACAAACCTTAGAAGCTGCACAGATCCGTTCTCCTTGCAGCCACACTGCCGCCAGTACGTAGGCGACTTGGATCGCTTGCTATCCAAGGAACGGGTACTGGAGGAAGGAGCAGGACTATCGTTGGGGGATTCGGAGGATTTCCCGGATCCACCTGTGCCAAGTCCCTTGGGGGGGGTGCCATGCTTGGGCTTGCCATGCGAGGAAGGTGGCTTCATAGCAGGTGCAAGCTTCTTGGGGCTTTTGTCCTGGCTATGCATTTCGGGTGGCTCCTGGACGGTATTTCCTGGGCTGTCCTTCTCGGTTGGCTCGGAGCTTCCTCCTGGGCTATCCTTCTCGTGGGACTCGGAGGTTCCGCCGAAGCCATTCTCAAGCTTCTTGGGGCTTTTGTCGTGGCTATGCATGCTGGGTGGCTTCTCGGCTGGCTCCTTGTTCACTGCTGGTACTTTAGCATCCTTTGCTCGCGGGTATGGGCACTGTGCATCCTCCAGAGTGCTGTCATACCCCAAAGACTCACAGCTGCTTCCTGGCATAACAGCAGAATGAGGAGGCACGACCACATTGCCAGGCACCGCCAGCATGGAAGTCTGTCGGACTATGGCAGGGGCACCTCAGATATATCAAAGCAATACACAAAATCGGGCAAACCCATGTTTACTTCACGACTTGATTTGTGCTTGGCAGCTGGGCTTCTTACTACTATTACTACTACTACCACCACTACGACTACTGCTAATATTATTATTACCATTATTATATTACTACTACTACTACTACTACTACTACTACTACTACTACTACTACTACTACTACTACTACTACTACTACTACTACTACTACTACTACTACTACTACTACTACTACTACTATACTACTACTACTGCTACTACTACTACTACTACTACTACTACTACTACTACTATTACGACGACTACTACTACTACTACTACTACTACTACTACTACTACTACTACTACTACTACTACTACTACTACTACTATACTACTACCAATATCGCTACTACTGCTATAGTATTACTATTACTACTACTACGACTAATACTATACTATGACTACTACTACTACTACTACTACTACTACTACTACTACTACTACTACTACTACTACTACTACTACTACTACTAGTGCTCCTGCTATCACGACTACTACCACCATCACCGCCACCACCACCAGCACCACCCACACACACACACATAAATACATGCAACCGGTACATGTAATCGCATCTTATGTGCTACCAACAATACTACTGCCACTACCACCACCACCACCACCACCAGTACTACTACTACTACTACTACTACTACTACTACTACTACTACTACTACTACTACTGCTGCTAGTACGACAGCGACTACGACGACTACTACTACGATATAACTACGACGACTACTACTACTACTACTACTACTACTACTACTACTACTACTACTACTACTATACTACGACTACGACTACGACTACGACGACGACTACTACTACTACTACTACTACTGCTACTACTACTACTACTACTACTACTACTACTACCACTACTTCGGGTACGACTTGACTACTATATGTTTTAGGTATATATAGTTTTCACCCATTTATGCTGTGTGCATAATATATGTATATAAGATACATAGCTAACATGCAAGTATTAGTCGTTATCTTATACCATATGTGCATGCATCCATACCTATATATACATACATGCATACATACACATACCTGTAACACAGAGGTACATACATGCGTGCATATTATCCACACCATGCCATTTTATGATGTGTCCATATACAGAGGAACACAATTAATAATTCATGCAAAAATTCATATATGCTATGTCCTGGTCTAGTCTGAATGCATGCATGCATGGATGTATGTATAACTAGCTATGTTTGTACACACAAGCACAACTGAAGCTTCAGCTCTGCAGTGGCTGCCGTGGAGTTGATAGTATGAATTCCAGTAGACAACACACAGCTAGTATTAAGCTATAGGGTTTGGACTGTAGGGGATTGTGTTGGGTTGTGAGCTCCAATACACAGACCTAGGGACCTGGAACCCATAAGCAGGAAGATTATTCATCACTCGCCACCTGGAGGTCCTCCCTCCGAGCGGGTGCGGGGCCGGCCACCACGAGCTGCCAGCTGCGCTTGCAAGGCCTGGATCCTCGCCCGGGAAGCCTCGGATGGGAGAGAATTGATTCGATTAGTCATGGGGTCGCATCAATATAATTTAACGATACCACTTTCAGCTGAAGGGCTTCGATCCTTTGCTGCACATCATGAGATCCCTCTGGTGTGGAAGACATCGAGTTATGAGCAAGGAGGGGAACAGCCTCTACCAAGGAGTTGCAAGACCAAAGCCGGGACGTCATATCCAAACTCCTAGTTTGCACAGTCAAGGTTTCGAGCCTGGCGACAAGATCGATTCATAGGATGTGCGACAGAAACCACATGCATGTGTTCAGTATCTTGTACTACTTCGTGCTGATCCGAAAGCCTTGGCAAAGCTTTTGCACCTGTATGGCATCTGAAGCTGCCAGGAATGTTCCCGGGTGCATCTACTCGAATTGTGGAGGCTGGAATATGAAAATCCATCCGATCCAGGAGGTTTCAGTCCGAAGTGGTTTTGGGGTTTGATATGCTTTTTGGGTTTGCGCCCGGTTGCGGGTATTTGCGCCCGGGTTGCGGGTATTTGCGCCCGAGTTGCGGGTAAAAGTGTCCGAACCTATTTGCGAAAACCGCTGCAACACCCCTAATTATAAAAAGAGTCCGAGGCAATTGGCTTCCTGCATCAGATGGTTGCAACACACACCAGATTTCAGCACCAGGGCACCAGAACCCCTAGTAACAAACCCTAGGACCTGTACCTATATAGGATCTATAGACTCGCCCGTACCAACCCGGTGCACCGGAACCCCTAGTAACAAACCCAAGGACCTACTAGGATCTAGACTCACCTGTACCAACCCTACTGCCCTGCACTGGTTGTCTCCAGCTGTTGCAGATTTGCACGTAGCTCAGGAGAACCACAGGCCTTGGGTTTGAGGGCTTGGGGCTTTTGGAGTGTGGGGCAGAAAGTCAGCTTGGACTTTGGGGTTTAGGCTTCGGAGTTCGGGGTCACAGGGCTTCGGGCTGCTTTGGGATGTTAGGAATTTCCAGAAAAGCTTTGGCTGGGTTCAGCAGCACACATGCTGGCCCTTGGACCTGGAAGGCTTTTAAAACCGTTTAAGTCCCAAGGCCTGGAGCCCGTAACCCCAAGCCCAAAACCCTATAGGCCCTATAGTAGAAGCCAGAAAGTTGGAACATGGGTTTAGGAGGATTAGTGCTAGGATCTCTTATATTTTACTTTAGGGCCCTGAGGATACTAATGTTCCAACTTTCTGGCTTCTACCATAGCCAGATTGGAAAGCCCCGAACCCCAAAATCCAGAAGCTCCAAGCTGCGCACACTCCAAACCCGAAAGCACCAAAGGGCCAGAGACCGACACCCAAAGGCCCAAAGCCCAGCCACGACCCCCAGAACTCTAAACCCTGCTAAACACAAAACAGCTTGCTTGAGCTAAGGCCCCCAACCCACAAAGGCCAGAAGCTTCTTCCTCAAGCCCCGACCCTGCAAGATCTTGCCCAAAGACCCACCCCGAACCTAGAAGCTTTCAACTGCCGGGCTGGGGTTTTATAGTAATGGGGACAGGTTCAACGAAACAGCTTCGAGGATGCCCGAGTTGTGGAGGCCTGGTGTTATATGGTCTGGGGACCGAGAAGAAGCAGGCTCTAGAATAAGACTCGCCTTGGTCGTGGCCGCCGTGGCCCGTGCTTTGGAGTGTTGGGGGCTGGGACCTATTGGGGCCACTACAGTTCAAGGAACCTATAGGGGGTTGGAATGCTAGCTTCTGCTCCAGGAACTACGTTAGGCAAGGCTGGCTAGATTGAGGTACTAGCAGTACAGTGCTAGTGGTATAGTAGTATAGTATATACTATATATAGTAGTATAGTATAGTATAGTATACGTAGTACTAGTTAGTGGTAGTGGTAGTGGTAGTATATAGCTAGTAGTAGTATAGTATATAGTAGTATAGGATCGCAGCAGCAGCAGCAGCATGCAGTAGTAGAAGTAAAGGTAACTATATATTATACAGTACGTATAGTATAGCTATATATATATATATATATACATATATATATATATATATATATATATACACCTTATAAACTTGTATATATAATTATACATAGAAAACGATCCGAGTGTATAGCATACTATAGTCGTAGCAGTAGCAGTCGCAGTAATAGGCCTGGTGGTTGCAGTTGTGGTGGCGGTGGTGGTGGTGGTGGTGGTGGTGGTGGTTGGTTGTTGTTGGTGGTGGTGGTGGTGGTGGTGGTGGCGGTGGTGGTGGTACTCAAGTGCAAACCCCAAAGCCAGCCCCGAAGCCCCAAGCCCTAAACTGTATATATATATATATATATATATATATGCCTGATATATATATATATATACACATGTTTAGTTATATATGTTAGTCTAAGTCTGTATAAGTCATCATAAAAGTAGAAAACAGAGCCCCATGTAAGCTCAAAACTTCAATTCTAAGCTGGAAGCCTCCTAAACTTCTCCCGTTGAGAGCCCCCGGGCCCGAGACCCCTAAAGGGCTAGAGCCCCAAATTCCAAAATCTCTACAACTAGTTGTGTAGCCCAAATATATGCTATCCCTACTGTATGACCCTTGAAATTAAAGCCCAAGCTAACATGTGCCCTCGGCAACCAGATGCAGCCAGTGATGCTTGGGTCACCACTTCTTCCTTGAAGGATCTCATCACATCGGCCCATGAATCCGGAATCCTGGGCTATGCACTGTCTACGTCACACTAGCGGCTAGCTGGTATAGCTTATTCCAAGGCATCAGTTCACATGTGTGCATTATTTGCAAACAAGTAGCTCAACATGTTTGCAGTGATAGAGGTAGAGAAACACTTCATGTACCCGGCTGTCAACCCATAAGTCCCCCAGTGGGAGACTATTGAAGATCTCTTTATCTGTGCATCCCATGTTGACATCTGTTCGGCCCCTACAGTCGGCCCGTCCGGAAAGAGGCAGCAGCCGCCACTGTTCATAAACCTCCATGAGGGCCTTCCCGAAGAGCGGTGTGTAGGCCCTGAAGTAGCAAGCCAACATGTCTAAACACTGGAGATCACTAAGCCATACGTGTGTACTATGCATGCATTGAGTGGCCAGGCGACCCAGACTTCTTCAGTGCAGATCTGTGGCCAGTGAAGCAGGACTGCCCCTTCTTGTTCGTATGTCGACCTTGGCTGCATCGGTGTGATCTATAGGGTGCTTTCTGTTCTGGGACATCGCTAGCGTTTTCCATGCATACAAGATACGAACTGTGGTCAGCATTGACCTCACACGTCTCTGAGCTTTGGTCAACTTGCCCTTGTCCAGGAGCGATATTGTAGCCATAGGAGACATGATCACAGTTCTTTTGGGGCTCGGGGCACCATGATGCATCATCCAATGGGCCTGCTGGTACACCTACAGGATCAGGGCTGTATTCATATTATGCCAAAATCAAAGTTTGTGAATGCATGTTAATCTAGCACATATGATTAATTACGGACCTTGCAAACACGGTTCACCAGCCAATCCCATCGGTGGTGCTTGGGCAGCAATGACTGCCAAGGTTGCTCAACTATCCACGTTGCGTGACGGCTCATCATCAAGAGTATCAGCAGAACAAGCCTCAGCTTAACGATCAGTTTAAATGAATGCAATGTATACTGTCTCTGCTCGCGCTAACTCAGACTCGATCGCATAGGATGGACTAGTGACCGGGATACCAAGCAGTTGTTGGCATCTACCCACGACAGTCCACATCGCCCAAAAGGGTTAATGCTGTTTCTCATAGAAGTAGAGCGTGCTGGCAGGCCCCAGCTGCTGCAGTCGGGGCCTATGACATTGAGGGCGTCCACGATCTGGTTCATCACGGCGTACATAGCAATCCTGGGTTTCGAAGTGAATGCCAATAGACGGGGCCAAGTAGGTTTGGTTCAGTATATAATTACCGGCCTGGGACACATCCCATCTTGTAGGTTGGCCTCGTTAACTGTTTCTTGGCGGATTTAAGGTGAAGTGAGTTTTGGGGTTTGGGCCACGGCTCGGGGTTAAGGTTTCAGGGCTAGGGTAGGGTTTGAAGCCTCACTTTTGCCGGGCTTTGGCATGGTTATAGGATTTCGGATTTGTGGCGTTTGGGTCTGGGTTTGCTTTAGCGCTTTCAGAATGTTTCCTACGGCTTCCGAAGACCCTTAGCCCAAAGGCCCAGCGAAAACCCATCTTCCGAACCGAAACACATAAGCACACCGCTATATGCCTGCTGCATAAGATAACCCTGCTCCTACACCCGAAGCGAAAGAGAGGGAGAGAGCGAGAAACAGACGGAGAGAGAGAGAGAGAGAGAGAGAGAAAGAGAGAGAGAGAGAGAGAGAGAGAGAGAGAGAGAGAGAGAGAGAGAGAGAGAGAGAGAGAGAGAGAGAGAATTAGGGTTGAGGGCTTATAGGGTTTAGGGTTTTAGGGTTTAGGGTTTTAGGGTTTAGGGCTTTTTTTAGGGTTTATAATCTACGAATCTATATGAGCCCAAAGCACCCAGAAGCTGGATGGACAAAACCCTCAAACGAACAGATCAGGGTTTGAAGTATTCTGCAGACAAACATCGTGAATCCTTTGTTCCCGAGGAAGTCCATGCCATCTCCATAAAGTACATCGAAACTCATAGTTCTGTAGCCAGCAGCATGCCTAGGAAGCAAACCGGTATGAGCTATAGCTACATTTAATACAAGATCGGCACTGAACCTGAACATGAGGTTCGAACCACTCCTTGGTAACAGCAGCCTCACCTGCAAAGATTTCGAAGAACTCCACATTGTTCTTGAAACTGAGGGTGGTCATCCATCGTAGCAACAGCACCTGGGCCCCGTGCATATATAAAGATATACAATACATCTGTATATGCATGATGCACAGGAACTCACAAGTAAGACATGTAGGCAGCGGGCTGTTGCGATGAACACCTAGCAGGCAGCATCCCTGTGTACTACTGTACAGGATATCATGCAGTGCACACCAGACATCCCACCTTCGGTGCATCCAGTTGCACCAGGTTCACAAGCAAAGATTCACTTGCATCCATGGAGCCTCCTCTACATGTAGAGCCACTGAACCAAAATGCGCTCAAGCATTGGCCCATCTCTCATGTGCAATCAGAAGCAATCCGGCCCGTGACCCATGTAATCATGCATCACTGTCAAAACCACATGCAAAGGTGCATGGCTGGGGGACACAGCCTTGGATGGTAGCACGAACCTTCCATCCTTCAAGACGAGGCGGCATCCTGGCAAGGAAATAGGATTAATAAATCAGCTGCTAGAGTCGCAGACATGTATAAATCGAGACTGGGCACAATCAAGCATGCATGCACGATGCTCCGAGCACAAGCAATACAGTTTTGGATCGTGATGGCACATCCACTCACGCTCTGCGGGAACTCATCGGCTCGGTGTTCTCACCGGGTCGCATAAGAAGCTAGCTTGAAAAGCCCCGTTGGCATATGATTGCAGGCAACACAAATTGGTTGTCACAATCATTGCTCCCCCCACCCCTAGCACTTTCACATGTGCAGCTGGCTCATGTACAGGCAAGCGTACAAAATCGACCATCCGGATCGTGGGCTTGATCATCGACATCCAATCCAAGCCGTGGGCTTGGTCAGTCCATGGCCTTGTATGCCTTGGTTGCAACAACGGATATTGCACGGTTTGCTTGTACACACATGAACATACAGGACTGTTGCTTCAGGCATTTGGAAAGCTATTGTTCATCAAGAAACAGCTTTTGCTGCTGCCTTGCAGGCTTCAAGCGGTTTGCCTTCACTCTTAGCCTGGCTCATTGCTTTGTGGTAGGCCACAGATTTCCTGGATTTTCTCGCTTTGCTCTCATCATGCTGATCCTCTGCCTTGTCCCTAGAGGCAGAACCCCGTGGGCGCTTGGTCGCCCCAGCCTTTGGCTTTGGATCCTCCTTGGCCTTTGGTTTCGGCTTTGCAGAACTCTTGGCTTTTGCTTTTGCTTTGGGGCTTGCAGCATCCTTCTTCCTGGCATTCTTGCTTTTCGCGGTTGCCTTCGATTTAGGCTTTGCGGCAGGGCCTCGTTTCACCTTGGGTTTGGCAGTCTCCTCGATCTTATCCTCCTCCTCTTCCTCTGTTGCCTCTGGGTGTTCATCGGCTGAGGCCTCGGGTTGGCTTTCATCAGCCTCGGTGGCTGGGGGGCTGGGTGGGACCTCCTCCTTTGCTTTGCGCCCTCCCCGCCCTTTGCCCTTCCCCCCACGACCCCTGCTCGAGGCCAAAGACTTACCACGACCTCGGCCTCGACCTCGGCTTCCACCACGGCCTCTGCAGGATGTTGGCTCCTCAGCAGCAAGCGTTGTAGCAAGAGGCTCTTCGGGGGTTTCCTCGCATGCTTTGCTCTGCTTGGTCTTCTTCGTTTTCTTTGGCACTGCACCAGTAGCGATCATTTGCTCACTTGGAGACATGGGCTTGAAGACCGTCGTGTCGGGGCACTCCGGTAGCTTGGCTTCCACTGCCTCAGTTACAGCCAGCATTTAAAATACGCATACCATCGTTTCCATGGAATGCTTCTAACTTCTAGTAATGCCTAGCCTAGCTAATGGGATTCAGCTAGAGCACCTCCTCGGCAGCAGATTTTTCACCATCGCTGTAGTGCACGGTGCCAATGCTGAGACTGACACCATCATCATCATGATCGGACTTGTCATCGGCAAGTGCTCCATCGACAGAAACCGATACCGGCGGCTCACACTCTTTCTGTTCAATCACTGGAGCCTCCGAGGGAACATCCACAAGAAGCCCCACTCCCGATCCTTCGCCAAGGTCCTGGACCTTGGCGGCTTGCATGCAGCCTACAGCATCATCAAGGCCGTCGAAGTCATTCGGCAGGGTGTCCACATTGTCCAAGCCTAGGCTCAGTTGATAAGAGGGTGCGAAAGGGGCCAGCAGGGTACATAACAAGCTTACACGACATGATGTAATTAACATCCTAGGCACACATAGTCACCTGAACATCGGCAGCCCGCTTGGGCTGCTTGTGCTCAGTCTCATGCACAATGCGTGGCTTCTTGGCCTCTGCTTCAGGTTCCTTGCAAGCTTCAAGCTCAGGCTCTAGAGTCCTCTTTGGGTTGATTGGCGGCAATTTGTGAAGTGTGTCGTGGCTGCTGCTGCTAAGCTCTGCAGGCACAGACTCTCTGGCCTTGCGAATACTAGGTGGCGGCATAAGCTCTCCAATACTCGCTGTCATAGATCCCAAGGACTGCACCTTAGCCTGCAATAGATCTGCCTCCTCTTGAGCTAGAAGCCTTTGCAGCTCTCCCTCCTCAGCCTGGAGAATCAGCTCCTCCAAGCTGAGCTGCTCTGCAAGTAGCTCTGCCTCCAGGTCGTGCTCGAGGAATTCCTTATCATCTTCGGCCTGCAAGGCCTGGGCAAGCCTCAGACTAGCAGCCTGACTCGCGGCATCATCTCCTTTCGATAGCTCATCATCTAGTGCCTGGGCAAGCCTCAGACTAGCGGCCTGACTTGCAGCATCATCTTCATCTCGTAACTCGGGAATCCTCAGACGAGCGGCCTTTTTTGCGGGGCCACCTCTCTTCAATAGCTCGTGATCTAGTATATGGCAGGGGAGGGACCTTAAGTCATCGAGTCCGCCAGTATCACCACAGTTGAGGCATTTGTAATGCATATCCTCTTTGACCAAATAGTGCTTTCGTGCATGCTTTGCTTGGCTTCGTGGCGACATTGGCAATCCTAGGCATTCAGACAGCTGCATTGATCGACCCATGTGTAGTTGCAATAGTCTGCACATCGAATCTCATAAATTCATGCAGCTGAAAAACCTTTGGGAGGCGGCGTCACAATCGTAGAGGATTCCGAAGGCGTAGAAGATGTGGCTTGACCTGGGATCAGCTTGTTATGTGTTTGTTTAGGTTTCCTGAAGCCTACATAGATCACAGGACATAATGCAGGTAAAGGTCTCGGTAGCTTCAGCTCTGGACACTTGCTCTTTGGTGCGGCCATCCCAGAAGAAGTCTCGGTACAAACCTCGATCCCACGACTACCGAATGGCCATGATACCTAGCTATATATAGCTTGGCTTTAAACCATTAAAATCCAAAAAGCCTGTACCCCGGTAAAACAATCGGACCATGCTAGCTTCGGGGCTTTGAGGCAAGGGGCAGCAGGCTTGTGTGGATTCTCCGGTGCCCCTCCTGTGACCTTGTGACCAGGCTTGCGTGGATTCTCCGGTGCCCCTGCTGTGACCTTGTGACCAGGCTTGCGTGGATTCTCCGGTGCCCCTCCTGTGACCTTGTGATCAGGCTTGCGTGTGGGATTCTCCGGTGCCCCTGTGATCTCGGGCTTGCGTGCTGGATTCTTCGGTTCTGCTGTGACCTCCGGCTTGCTGGAAGTCCCTGGCGCCCCTGTGACCTCGAGATCAGGCTTGCGTGTGGGATTCTTCGGTGCTTCTGTGACCTCCGGCTTGCTGGAAGTCTCCGGTGCTCCTGTGACCTCAGGCTTGCTGCTGCTGCTGGGATTCTCCCGTGCCCCTGTGACCTCAGGCTTGTGTGCGGAACTGTTTGGTGCCTTCGGCTTGCTCCTCGTGTTCCTTGGTGGCTCTACTGTGACCTCAGGCTTGGGGTCATCATCGAGTGCAGCTGAAAGGTCAGGTGTCTCCGGGCCCTCGGGTGGTGGCATGCACTCCACCTCTTCATCAACCTCTTCACTCTCAGATTCCCCACAGCCCTCTCCCATGCCCTCGTCGTCGGAGGCAGAATCGTCGCTGGATTCACCTCCACTGCTGCCGGCAGCACCTGAGATAGGGTGTTAAGGAGGTATAGGTCTTAGGTTTGAGGGCTCGGGGTTTAGGACTTTGGGGCTTCGTTATAATTTATAGCGTATTATATATAATTAATGATCGAAACTTTACAGATGCCATGCAAGCACATAGTATGTGGGTGTCCCAGGCACTTTGGGGGACTGGTATTCCAGATCTGTGAAACAGTTGCCGTAGATTCGGATCTCGCGGGGAATGTGGCCGTTTTGCGGTTCTCGCAAAGATTGTAATCATCCTCCTGAGCAACCATGCCTCTGTTCGCAAGTCGTTGCCTCAAGTGCATGCAGATGGGTTCGATACTGCGCGTTGTTTTGTGCTGCCTGCTCATCATAAATTAAGTCGTGCACTTGCTGGCATTCTGGCAGCTGCAGGCCGATAACCCAGATAAAATCTTGTGACATATTCTTGCAACAAGTCAACGGAGGGCCGCAGGCCTCAGCAGCAGGCATAGGACAGGAATTCAGTGTAACCATCGCTGTTGACACTTGCAAATAATTAAAGCCAGGTTTCCCAGGTGATTGAGCAGAGGAGCTAGGACTTCCATGTTGTCAACCAGCACAGCACGGTTGAGTTTGTTATGCTGCAGGAGCAACAGTCGCTTAGCTTTCACAAGCTGACTCATCACCACATGGCTTTTCGACCAAGCCATCAGAATAGGGCATGGTTCAGGAACAGCAACTGAGGCATCTGGAGCAGCATCCATGGCTTTTCCACAAAGCGACAAAGCGAAGCTAGATTCTCAAAATGTAGAGGAAACCCCTGACAAATTATCTTGTATTTTCCAAGAACTGATCTGCTGCTGAAGCTAGATTCTCAAAATGTAGAGGAAACTCCGGACAATTATCTATAGTATGTTCCAAGAACTGATCTGTTGCTGTAGGGCTGGCAACCCGCAATCGTCCAAAGCACTGAGCCAGCTGTTAGCAACAAGGGCATTCAATTGTATGCAATGAGCTCAACTGCAACAGCTGCTATTGATATCCCAACTAAGCCAGGCGTGCCTTCAAGAAGTCGTGGCTTGATCATCGCAGTACCTGTGTCCCCAGCCAAGGTACACTACGACTTTGGGGCCTGGATGCACAATACATACATACAGGGGCGCACCCAGGGACCGCAGCAGGCCACAGATATGAATCGCTTCGGCTTGATGCTTCAAAAGGCTAGTCAGAATCGCAAAACACGAATCAGGCCGAATACAAGCAAAAGCAGCCGAACCCAAATTTATGCTACAAACCAACAATAAGTATGACAAACCCAGCCCGGACACAAATTAAGATAGCAAAAGAACCCCCAGGTAGGGTTTAGAGCTTACTGGGATTTGGGGCTTTAGGGGTATGTAAGGTTTAGAGTTTAGGGGATTTAGGGTTTAGAGTTGAGGGGGTTTAGGGTTGAGAGTTTAGGGGTTTTAGGGTTGAGAGTTTAGGGGATTTAGGGTTTAGAGTTTAGGGGGTTGTGTCCTTCAACTGAAGTTTCAGAGGCTTCCTGTATCCAGAGAGCCCAATAACCTTTAATTCAGGAATATGGCTTAAAATATATAGGGCTTCATACTCTGATGTGAGCTATACTCCTTAATTGAGGGGTATTGGGCTCTCCGGGTTAAGGTTCTATAAGGATGGCATTTACGGAATTGCATGACAGCGCAGAAGTCAGAGGGACCCTTAGGGGTGTAGGGGGAGGGGTGGGTAGGGGGCCTTAATGTCCAGAATAAGCACCTAATAAGGCCTATTTAAGGAAGTATAAGTTAGAGTATACCTTGCCCAGTTTGGGTAATAATGCCACCGCTAACCCATTAGATGATTATCCCTATACTCCCCCCTACACTTCACCGATATATCATTACTACTTCCCCCATTAGATGATTATTCCTAGGTTCCCCCCTAAATTTCACCATTATATCACGACTACTACCCTATTATCAACACAATTCTAGGAATAACCATAACCCCATCTATTATTTCTAAGGTGGCATTATTACCCAAAAGGGGCAAAGGGGTCCTTGTAGAATTTGGTTCAGGGTTTAGGGTTAAGGGTTGTAACTACACTGTAATTATAATATATAACTGCTTATGTATTATAATTACATTATAACTATGTTGGTTAGGTTGTTTAATCCATTAAGACAAACTCAGGTTTATTCATAAGAGTTCCAACGATTTTATTAAAGTCCCTAATGAATACATCTGGATTAAAACCAAAATCGTTTATCTTACTACGAATATTAATATTTTTAATATCCATCCAATCCTCATATATCCATTTGAACACTGTATATCTTTTTGTTGACAATTTCTTGAACAGACTATTTTTAACCCTGTCGTAAATGGGAAAGTCATGTTTAGTTGAGAAAATAAGTCTATCTACATCATATACATGTAGTATATTACGTCTGATAATTCCCTCTATCCTCTCCTTCTTGAACTGGCGTTTTTGACAACTACGGCAACAATAAGCAAAGCCGTAAATATTATCAATAATATTTTCTGGTAGTGACAATTCATACAGAGTGGAATAATGATCATGTTTTTTACAATCCCTGCATTTACAAATCCGTCGCTCTTCCTTGAGTTCCCTGAGGTAATCGTGAACCTTGACACCATCCAAGAAGTTATCTGTTATTTCATCCTGTTCTCTTTGATTGAACATGTCCCTGTTAATATATATAGGTGTTATTTCGTTAAGTCACTTTCCTCAGAAGTCACTTTCCTCAGAAATATTATTTTCTTAAGATTTACTGGATCGTGGTGTATTTGACAGACTTCTCTAAGCATTCAGAACAAGTCGCAATGTATTTAACATAACAGTAAGAATGCTTACCAGCACAATAGCAACGCTTAAACCAATCAATGTCTTTGACTTGCTTACAGCGATAACACATCCTAGTAACAACATTATTTGTTTCAGTATATGGTTCAAAATCAACTAATATCTTATCTACTCTTACTGGCATTGCTAATATTATATGTTAGAATATTGTTATAAATACAACTATTTATAACAAGATTTAACGAAACTAATTACGAATTAATGTCATTACCAAACTCTTATGGTTTGCTTATGAACCTGTAGACTTGCTAGGCACTCGGGGGCATTGCCTCACTTCCTTCTTCTGTGTTCATTGGGGACTTTTTTTTATGCCAAGATGGCCTGTCAATATACACGAGATTTTAATCCATAATATTTAAATTATTCTTCAAAATATTTACATCTTTGTCTATCCTTTCAACATCCTCCTCCACTTTTTCTAGTCTCTCTTCTGGCGTAGGCTTTCTTGATCCAAATCCGGTTGTCACTGTATCAACACCTTCATTATCTGTTAAACTTGTTTTAAATATGGCGTTTTCATCGGGGGATATTCCCCTTCCCATCTTAAAACTGCTTCTATCTTCAATTATTGTTTTACCTTCATTGTTTATTTTAGTTTCTTTGTGAAAAGTTTTTCTCCTGCATTTGCAGGGCAAACAGTTTAATCCATCTGTGTTTAGGTGGAAGCCACCTTCATTAGTTTCCCTATGATTGTCGCTCATTAAACTTTCTTAGATTTTTTATAATTCTTAAAATAGTAAAGAATACATTTTAGAACTTCCAACGAACTATTACAACACTTTCTAATTTTATTATCTGTTATTACCACTTCTTCTATTTTCTCAACTTCATTTATTATATCAATATAATCCTGATATGATGTTTCCATTATATATTTAAATCATATAATTTCTATGTATTATTAATTATGAGTAACGTCCCTGAAATAAAACCATACAAAACCAAAGAATATAAAAGTAAGCAGTCAAAATGTGAACATGTAGGGAAATTACCCGCGCGTCAGTTGCTGTTAGGTCCGTCTGGAACTGGTAAAACAGTTGTATTAACGAATTTAATATTAGATGTCTATCGTGGTTGCTTTGAGAAAATATTTATATGGTCGCCCACAATATTTTTGGATGATAATTGGAATGCTGTAAAGAATTATATAGAAAAAGAAATGAAGCAAGAACATACAGATAAAGACCCTATGTATTTTGATCACTATGACCCAAAAGATATGGATAGAGTTATTAACACACAAGAAAAAGTCGTTCAATATATGAAGAAAAACAAATATGATAATATGTTTCATATTGCACTGATAGTGGATGATTTTTCAGATACAAAAGAGGTGGCACGTAATTCAGTCCATCTAATGAAATTATACTGTAAGGGTAGGCATTACTATTGTTCTACCTTCGTCGGGACACAAGTATGGATGAGTTTATCGCCTGTCTTAAGAAAAAATGTTACTCAGTTGTATGTTTTTAGATTAAGAAACCAAAAAGATTTAGATAGTTTATTAGAGGAACTGTCAGCATTATATGATAAAGCAACTTTGTTACAAATATATAAACTGGCAACGGATGAAAAACATAGCTTTTTGTTTATAGATTTAATGCAACCAAATAAAGAAGATATGTTTTACAAAAACTTAAACCAAAAGATTATAATGAATGATGAATAATAATATTATTAATTATCAAAACAAACTAGGGTTACAACAATGTAAGTGAGTAAAACCAAAGCAGGGGCATTTCTTTTTCTTTCTCAATGCTTCTACCTTGTCTTCTTCTGCCTGTAATTTTCCTAACAGATCTTTCATCGCTTTTAAAAGTATATCGGTTTCCGAAATGTCTTTGCTTTTTTGCTTAAGTAGTTCCATACACACTTTATACTCATCATGAAAGTCTGGCATATATATTTATTTAGGAAATTTCAAACTGTTATATAAAGAAAAGATATATTAGGGTATATAGGGATATGAATAAATATCAGAATGGTAAAATTTATAAAATTGTTGATGTTGGTTATAATAAGTGCTATATTGGTAGCACTACTGAAAGTTTAAGTCGGAGAATGGCTCACCACAAGTGTTCTTTTAAATATTACCAGCAAGGTTTGATTAATAAGGTATGTTCCTTTGATTTGTTTGATGAATATGGTGTGGAAAACTGTAAAATTGAACTAGTTGAATTTTATCCAACAAACACAAAAGAAGAGTTATTGAAAAGAGAAGGAGAACATATTAAAAACAATGAGTGTGTCAATAAATATGTATCAGGTAGAACAATAACTAGGCTGTTCAGTAACCCACGGGGAAAAAGTATATACTTTTTTAGGCTTCTTATTTTATAATAGGAACCCAGAAACCTGAAAGTAAAAAAGTGTACCACTGAACAGCCGAGATAAAACAGTGGCTTGAAGACCATAAAGAAGAACGCAAAAAGAAACAAGAAGAGTATAAACAACGCAACAATGAACAAATACGTTTGTGGAAAAAGCAATACAGAGAAGACCACAGAGAAGAAATAAACCAGAAACAGGCAGAATATCGTGAAAAAAACAGAGATTACGTAAATGAACAACAAAGAAACACTTACGAGAAAAACAAAAATAAATATGCTGTTAAAGTAGAATGTTGTTGCGGTGCGTCAGTTATTAAATATGGTATGAAAAGACACGAAAGAACACACAAACACCAGGAATACTTGAAAACATTAACAGAAGAAGATTAATAATATTATGTTATGATAATATTTTTAATCACTATCGCTTTTATCTTTACCTTTTATTTTGTTTTTTAATCTAGTTATTTCTCTTTTCATTGTTGTCATGTCTTTTTTCAATGCTTTAAATAATTCTTTTATGTCTTCATTTTCTTGAAGAGTATGTTGT